AAGTGGCAGGGCCAGGCCCTCTGGCTGCAGAGCCCCCACCACCTGACAACCCCATCAGCTGACACCCTCTTAGGGCTTGTTGTGTTCCTGCCATCAACCAGGTGGGAAGGCCAGACAGACGTTGCTACTTTGCGAATTAAGGATAGGTCACAGAGGCCAGGGCCCCGGCTGAGGCCACCCACTGTCCCCGAGGGCTGACCCTGCAGCCCAACCTCCTAGACCCTGGGTGCCTTCCCGTGTTCGCTGCAGGTGCCAGGCTTCTACCCATCTGGCCAGAAGCGACGTGGGTTTTTACGGGGCCTGCGTGGGCTTTTCCCAGAGGCAAACTGGGCACACTTTTGTCACCGTCGCTGCCTGCCCTGGGTGTAGTGGCAGGAGGTTAGCAAGACCCGGCCTCAGCCCAGGAAGGAGCGAAAAGCGCAAGCCCAGCGGGCTGCGGAGGAGGCACGTCGGGGGCAGGCCAGAGCAGAGGCAGCGGCCGCGGGCAATCAGGGAAGGCTTCCCGGAGGCGGGGGCTGTAGCGGGATTTGGAGCAGTCGAGATGCTCCAAACGTGTTTCATGCACAGGATGAGGGTGAAGGCTCCAGAGTAAAGAGTTCGAGAGCTGGCCCAGTTGTCCTGAGGATGTGGGCGCTGGAGGGCGGCGAACCGGGGATTGGTGGTTTTTCTCGAGGGGCAGGGGCGACGCGACGATGACAATTGGGACCGGGATTGAGCGCTTTGTCCGGGGAGGAGAGAGGAAGCGGGAGGGAGAGGACGGCGCCCGGAAGGGACCGGCTGGGGCGGACAACGGGGCTTAGTCCGGGCGGGGACCCCGCCGGGCCGTGCGCAGAGGGGCGAGCCGGGGGAGCCGGCAGAGGCGACCGCGGCGTCCGGGCCCCGCCCCCGGGAGTGGCCCCGCCCCCCGAGAGTGGCCCCGCCCCGGGCCGCCCGCGCGCAGGTAGGGAAGAGGCGGGGCCCCGGCGCCCCGCCCCCGAGGAGCCGCCGCCCCGCCGCCCGCCGCGCCGCTCGGAGCCGCGTCGGCGCAGAGTGAGCGCGGGTGGCGGCGGGCCGCGCTCGCGGCGGCGGGCTCCGGGGCGCCGCGGGGTCCCGGGGTTGTGCCCGAGCGCCCGAGCCCGGGCGCGGCGCGCGGCCGGGGAGGGTGCCCGCGGCGCGCCCGGGGCTCACGTGGCCCGGGGGGGGCCGGAGCGGACCGCGCGTCCGCCCGCCCTGGGCTCAGCTCGGACGGGACGCCTAAGCGAGCCCTGGGCCGCGAGTCGGCAGAGGTGCGGGCATGGCCATCGGGCAGAAGTTTAAAGCCCCGGAAGGAAGAGAGGGGACTGCCCCCGGGCACGACCGGGCAGCCCCGCCTTGGTCCCAGAAGTGCCCGGAGTTCAGAGCCTCCTCTCGTCTCCCCTTCCTCCCGGGTGGGCACCGGGCGAGTTTGTGCCTGGAGCCTCGCCCAGGTGGAAACAGGTGCGGGGGTGGGGCAGGCATGGAGGAGGGCGGGCTCACTCAGCAAGGCTGGACCACCGAGCCCTGACTCCTGGACTGCCGGGCTTGGGAAGGTTGGCCCCCTTGGATGCCACTGCGGGGCTTTTGGTTACAGGATAGGGAGGGCCTGGTCTCCTAGGGAACAGATCCCCCCACCAGCCCAGGGCAGAGAGGGAACCGGGGTCTCAGCCCCTGCCCGACTGGAAAGACTCAGGGAGAAGGCTGAAGGGTTGGGGCTATAGGGTGGATGTGGGGTGTGTGTGACCCTACCTGTGGGGTGGCTGCTGCTGCCCAAACCGCTGGCTTGAGGGCCCCCTGTGTGTGACACTGGCTGGTAAGATGATAAGCCCAGCATCTGTCTTATGCAACTGTCACTCTTTGTGGGGCAGGGGTGGGCACCGAGGCCTGTTTTAGAGGGGGCGACTTTGCCGCTGGATTGTTCGGCAGTGTCTGGACACCGGTTGGTGTCACGCACTTGGGAGGGGAGTGAGTGTTGTTGCTACTGGCAGGTAGTGGGGAAAGACCCGGGATACTGGTAAACAGCCCCCTCCCCCACGACGAAGAATCATCCAGCAATAGCTCATAGTGCTATGCCACAGCACCTGGTCCATCAGGTTGCTTCTCATTCATTTCTCCTGCCTACCTCAGTTTCCCCAGTGGTTAGGGGAGGAGTTGAAATAAACCTACATGAGATAAGAGGTAAGGAGGTGTGAGAGCAGTCACTCCCCTGGCAAGGGTACTCCTGAGCTGCCGTCTTTCCTGCTCACCACGGCTCTGCAGGAAGCAGGGCTGCGTGCTGTGTAGGAGGGGCTGGGAACAGGGCCCCCTTACGTGCAGGCCCGGAGTGCTTCACCCAAGGGCAGCCTCCCAGGAAGGCTGAGCTGGGGCAGCCCTTGAGCTCAGATGTCCCTGGGGGTGGAGGAAGGGCAGGGGGTGATCTCTGTTCTCATAGATTTTCCCAAAGCTGGATTGCTGAGGCTGGCATGGGTGCCCAATACCACGTGACCTGCTGCAAGTTTCCCGTCTGAACTCACACCAGGAAACTACACCAGGAAAATAACATCCAAGGAGTAACAGGCCTCCTGATCCCTGGTGGCTCCCCAGTCTTCCTCCATCTTGTAATAAAGAGGGAACCCCGGGTTAGAGGAGAAGCCCAGGGTGGGCCCAGCTGCTGGTAGGACAGGGCACCCCTTGCTCGTGGCTTTAGCTGGGCAACAGGGAGAGATGGAAGACATCGGAGCCGCAGGCCAGATGGACCCCGGTAGGGATGACTCGGAATCGTTTGAGCTGGGCTTAGGAATGTACTCCCAGTTTTCTGGGGATGGGGTGGGTGGCTGGCATGATGGGAGAGGGTCAGGTGAAGCAGCTCTGTCCATGCCCAGGAGCCTGGACCACCCTGCTGCCTTCCCGTCCCATTTCCTTGCAGAGCCATTGCCCACCCTGTTCCCTTCTGGACCCAGCCTCCTGGCCTGGGAACCCTGGTGGAGCAAGGTGGCCGTTTCTGGTTTGAGATCGGGTTTGGGGGCTTTTACAGTCTTTTAACTATAAAAGGCCAAAGTGAGACTCCCACGTTTTCAGTTGAACAAGCACCAGTAACACTGGCTCCATTGCCGCGTGCCTCTCCAGGCACAAGACCGAGACTTGTACAGAGTTGTTTAGGAAGTGAGCGTTTGAACCCCAGCTGTCCACCCCCAGGCCCGGCCTGAAAGCCTGGGAAACAAACCACAGGGTGACTCCTACCTGGCTGTACCTGCTGTACCGTGTCTCTCCCTCTCCCCCCTGCCCAGGAGGGGGACTCCTGTTCCTGTAAGAGGAGGAATAAGTAAATCACCCCACAAGTGCTTTGGAGGGTGGAGGGTGCCTCCGGGGTCAGTCGTGTTGCCTTTCCTGTGGGCTGAGCGCTGGACACGTCTGCGGCGTCTCTGCCGAGGTTCCTGTTCTATGTGCTGGGTAAACTCTGCCCCAGACAGATAGCACGTGGGAGCAGGAGACGGCAGGGGCTGTATGTGCGCGGACGTGTGAGGGTCTGTTAGTGCCGGGGTGGCTTGGAGGAGCCGCCTGCCCCCTGCCTGCCTGTGGCGCGGGACAGGGGAGGTGTGTGCGTTCTCCTGGCTCCCAGGTGCACACGCGTCCCCTGGGGTCTCTGTGCCACACACTTTGGAGCAGGCCTTGGCGCTGCCCGGCCGCCCCAGGGGGTTTCCAGAGTGAGCTCACACAGCTGCACCGTCTGCGCAGTGGGAAGCGGCTCCCAGTTTCCTATCCAGCTGAGCCAGGCCGGGGGAGGGGCGGCGCGGACGTCAGCGCCTGAGTGCAGGCTGACCTGGCGTGGCGGCCAGGCTGGGGCAGCTCTGGGGACACAGGGCTCCTCGCAGGCAGGCGGAACAAGGGCTTTCCCCAGGCTGCCCGTAAAGTCACAGTTGCCTCCCTCTGAGAACTAAGCAGGTATAAAAAAACTCATCTCTTCTTATTTTTAGGGAAGTACAGAGAGCCGCTGTGTCCGCCCTCCCTCCTTCAGTATGCTTATCTGGGGGCCCAGACGTGAGTTGTTTGTGTGGCTGAAAAGCTGCTAGAAAGCAGTTCCAGGCCCAGTGCCACCCTGGCCCCTCTAGGAAAGTGGTGTGAGCCAAGTGGGCAGTGCCAGCAGCCGTGCAGTCAGGGACATGGGCCTGGAGTATCAGGGGAGTGTTGTGATTGGCAGAGGGGGTGGGGGTGATTCCAAGCTTGGGGAACCAAGCGTCCAGGTCCAGGGGCCGGCAGGCTCAGTGGTCTACAAGTGTGCTCAGTAGCATGGGCTCACTTAAATAGTCCATGCTGGCCAAGCTTGGTGGCTCACACCTGTAATCCCAGCACTTTGGGAGGCTGAGGCAGGAGGATCGCTTGAGACCAAGAGTTTGAGGTCGCTGTGAGCTGTGATGATGCCGCTGCACTCTAGCCTGGGCAACAGAGCGAGACTCTGTCTTTAAAAAAAGTTCATGCCTCAGTTTCCACAGCTGTAGAGTGGGGTAACAGTAGTCTACTTGGGAGGGTTGTATGCAGTGGTGATTCATGTGCAGCTTTCAGCCCAGTGCCCAGCCCTGGTAGGAGCACCAGGGGGCCATCACGATAAGGGTATTGGGGCTTCTTTTTTTTTTTTTTTGAGACAGAGTCTTGCTTTGTTGCCCAGGCTAGAGTGAGTGCCATGGCGTCAGCCTAGCTCACAGCAACCTCAAACTCTTGGGCTCAAGTGATCCTCTTGCCTCAGCCTCCCGAGTAGCTGGGACTACAGGCGTGCGCCACCATGCCCGGCTAATTTTTTCTATATATATTAGTTGGCCAATTAATTTCTTTCTATTTTTAGTAGAGACGGGGCCTCGCTCTTTCTGAGGCTGTTTTCGAACTCCTGACCTTGAGCAGTCCACCCGCCTCGGCCTCCCAGAGTGCTAGGATTACAGGTGTGAGCCACCGCGCCCGGCCGGGGCCACTTCTGTTAGGGGTGCAGCCGCCTGCCGATGGCACAGACTTGTTGACAGCCCAGGCCCTATCTCGCGGGCTGCTGGGAGACTAGGCGAGGACACGCGTACAGAGTGGCAGTGCTGCTGTCATCGTACTGTAGAAGTGGCTGTGTCTGGGGAGGGGAGACCTCAGTGCCTTCTTGGCCAAGGGAAATGAGAGAGGGTTTCCATCTGGGCGTGCACTGCCAGCCCCGCCCAGGGGTTTCCCTGCCTGCCGGCGTGTGTGTCACTGATGGTATTGGGGGCAGGTCACGGCATCCTTAGGTGGCGCAGGGATGGCTTCCTGCCCCAGGTCCCTGGCAAGGAGCACCTTTTCCCCCTCCCCAGGTCACTGCCTCCGTGTGGCCACAAGAAGGCCAGGAAGAGAAGGGCTGGGGACCTGCCGTGGGGTTTGGGGTGGGAGCAGGACTTAGAACCGAAGGCCTCCCCTGAGCCCCTTATGACCTTGTCAGCCGGGGAGGATAATGACATCCTCCTCTCACCCTTAGCCTCAATTATGTGAGATAATGTTTGTAAAAGCCCTTCGGTAAGCTGGGAAGTGCTACCCAAGCGGTTAGGTGTTGTCACTTGTGCTTGGGGGGTGGGAGGGGTCTGTGAGTCAAAGGCCGCACACCCAGAGCTGGCTCCCAGCGTCCGGACAACTTCACGTCCCCACCCCTGGCCTTTTCCTTTTGCCACTGCGCCTCTCGGTCCGGGGTGGCAGGACGCTGCAGAATGCGGGGGCTAAGACCACAGGACCCTGGCTGGGGTCAGGGCCCCACCTCTCCCCAACCATGAGACCTTAGACAGGTGACTTAGTCTCTGAGCCTCAGTTTCCCCGCCTGTCAAATAGAGATCTGTCACCTCTGAGGCTAGATGTAGAGACCAAGTGATCGTTGGTGGCAGAGCTGGGCCAGGAATAAAAGGAGCTGCAGCTGAGCTGTGGTGGTGTGCCAGGCGCTGTACGTTCACGACCTCCTGTCATCTCCACTGCTGCCTGTGAGTGGGGTGTCACCCCATTTCACAGCAGAGGAGACAGGCTCAGCAGTGCCAGCCTGCCCAAAGTCTCCCAGCAGGTAGGTGCCCAAGGCAGGTCGGAGTCCTGTCTCTGCCCCCCGGCCCTCCTCATTCCTCAACAAGAGGGCCCCACGCTGCCTCCGAGTGAGGTGGGGCTGAGCACAGGTGGCTTGGCCAGCCCACATAGGTGAGCCACCTGGATGGGCTGCTGTCCAAGTGCCCTGAGCCCTGGCGGCCACCAGGGCTGGGCCCAGCCTCCCTGGGAAGCAAGGAGCCCCGGGGCAAGGTTCTGGGAAATCAGGTTTATTAGCTCCTTAATGACTGTTTACAAGCTGCAGTGTTTGCCTGGCATGTTCCTCCCTGCTGGGGGCTCCAGAAGTGAGGACACCCAGCGCCCTGTCCTGAGCATCGAGCTGGGGACCCAGGGCAGCCATCAGCCAGCTAGGCGAGGTGTTGGCCTCTCTGTAAAATATGGGGAGACTCTGTCCCTCAGCCAAACGTGCTCCTGGGCTGAGCCCGATGAATGGTGACAAAGCCACCTAGGTCTTACATCTTATGCACAGACAAACTGAGGCTCAGAGACATTGAGTGGCTTGCCCAAGATCACACAGCGGTTGGGGCTGGGCCTATGCCTCGTTTCCCCCCACTGGGCAGTGTTTTCACTCTCTGGAGCCAGACCACGAGGAGGCGGGTGGAAGTGGGTGGACTCACCCTGCAAGCCCAGGACAGACCTTGGGCCGGTCACACCTTGGTGTCGAGGAGCCTCCAGCAGAAATGAAGCGGGCCTCCCCCTCCCCCAGCCACTGCGCTTGCAAGGACCCGTGAGAGCCCAGCTCCCGGGACCGGAGAGGCGACGCTCCATGTGTGTTTGGAGCAAGATGCGGTCCACACAGCCCGTGTTGGTGTGGTTCCCCGCATGCACACACACCTCCTCAGGAACCCTCCAGTGTCCTGGCATCTGGCCTCTCCCCCTTCGCCGCGTGGGGAAGGAGCAGCAGAACTGGGGCGTGACGTGCAGCCTCCCCGACGCCGCAGGCCCTGGGCAGAGCACCTCGGGACCTGGCCTCTGCGCTTGCTCCCTTCCCTCCGCGGTCCCCCAACCTGCACTCGAACCCCAGGCTCTGGGAGCTGCTGCTGCTTGCCTGGGTGTGGAAGGGCGTCTGTATCCTGCCCCCACCAGCAGTTTCTGGGATCCAGAGATTTCCAGAGGGGCCCGTGGGAGGGCACGGGGGCGGGGGGCCAGCTCTGTGCGTGTTGGGTGGCCTGGCTGCCCTCCCGCTGCCTGTGCCGCCCCCGCCCTTGCATGTCGCCAGCAGCTGCTGCATCGTGGCTTCAGGGACCCCAGCAGAGGAGGGGGACAGTCACACCTCTGCCAGCCCTGCTGGCGACTGGTCCTGAGAAAGATCGGCTGGATGTCAGAGTCTGTGCCGCTCCTAGGTCATCATGTGTCCCCCTTGCCAGACACACGCATGGGCCCACACCCTCACACCCTGCTCTCGGCGGCTCCTGGAGCCCAGCGCCCGCTTCCCGTGTCTGTGGTCGGCCTGGGCCGTCCGAGCCTCTGCAGCTGGGTCGGGGGGAGCCCAGAGGAGTCAGTGGGTGGCCAAGCCCCGAACCTCCGGTTCTTGATCTTCTGAATTGAGTCTGGGGCAAGCGCTCAGAGGGCGAGAGGGAGAAAGAAACCGAGGGCTGTCTGGGTTCACAGGGCATCTGGGGAACCCACAGGCGGTTTGCTCTTCCTCTGTCTCGCACGGAGCTGCCGGGCAGAAGCACCTGCCAGCGGGTTAAGTGCGTGTCTGCACCCACTTGCCACCAGCCTCAGCCGCTGGGGAAGCGGTGCCGGGGGGAAGGGCGCATAGACCCCTGGTTGGCTCCTGGAGACCGACAGCCGGGCCCCTAGCCCTGGGCAAGGAGTGTGCAGGGCTGAGTCACTGGCTCTGCGGGGGCCAGCTTGGGGACGTGTTGGGGAGACATGGGCCGAGAGGGCAGCTTTTCCGAGAGCTGTCATTCCTCGCGCTGCGTGGCTGGAGAACTCCCCGAGGTCAGCAGAACCAGGGTGTCTGCTGGGGAGTGCACAGTGGTGAGGGCCCGGCTTCCTCTTTGCCGCTTTCTAAAAATGCCGCGGTTCCCAGCAGGGCCACAGGGAGGGAAGATGGAGTTTCGGTTTCTGTGGCAGAGAAGCTGGGGAGAAGACAGGGTCCAGGCAGTGCACCGCCCCCCTGCTGTCCTGACCGCCACTCTCTGGGACACCAGGTGGCCTCCGAGCAGCTCTAGAGCCCCAGCCAGGCTGGAAGTGGCTTCTGGGCCAGGTGGCGGCTTCCTAACTTCCTCTGCAAAGGGGACTTCAGCCCCTCTGCACAGAGGGTCCCCTAAGTCACCTGGCCACATCCAATGGTAATGGGTGGTCTCCCTCTTTCCTCTCAGGAGGGGAGCAGGTTGCTCACTCTTTGTCCTAGGGCCCCTCCCTCTGCTCTGTCCCCATTTCTGGCCGCGCACAGGCTTGGCCCTCCTGTCTAGCTTCTGCCTGTTTCTGTCTGGGGCTGCAGGTGATGCTCTCACCCTGCCCTGACCCATAAAGTCTGCAGAGCCCAGGGTTCGTGGGGAATGCATCTGCCATTAGCAAGGCCACAGCAACCTGCCAGCGTGGGGGTGCTGGTGGCAGGCAGGTGGAAAGCAAGAAAGGGGACTCGAGCCAGACACCTCAACACAGGTGAACTGCAGGTAGGGAGGGGAGAACGAGGGAGGAGTACAGGATCCAGCAGGCCTCCTGGTGGGGCGGGGGTCCCTGCAGCCCTTGCTTACACTGGCTGTGTGGCTGGCACAGGGCTCGGTTGGGAGCGCCCAGCCCCACCCATTGTGGGGAAACCGGATTCTCTGGGCAGCAGCCTCCCGTGGTTTCTGAGTCTGCATTTCTGTCATATGTGCCAGATCTTGGCTGTTGCTGCCTGGGTTATGCGATCTCGAAAGCTGTCTGGAGTGGGGGTGGCCCTGACCCCGGGCAGGGTGGGAAGCAGAGGTCCCAACCCGTGGAGACGCTGGGGTGATCTGAACTCTGCACTTCACATTTTCTCTGGATCTGCCATCCCCACCCCCATGCTGGGCCTGACCCAAAGGAGGAGGATATACAGCCTGTCCCATCCTGACTCCCCCTCTCCCCCCAGCCCCGAGCTCCAGCACCCTTTGGAGCCTCCTGCTACTCTGGGGCTGGGGCATGTGGCCCCAAGGAAGCCAGGACCCTCCATGGGCAGGTGGCGATGGCCAGCCGTGGGCTAGGTGCGGAGGCAAGCCTGGGATCTTAGCAAGAGTGGCAGATGTGACCGCGGGCCAAGAGGAAGCCTGGTCCCAGGATGTCACCATTTCCTCTGCAGTGAGCAAGCACTTCTGGGGACAGGAGATGATGAGTGTTGGGTGGGGCAGCTCCAAGGCTCCAGCGCTTTCTTCTGCCTGGTCCCTGTCATGTGCTCCTCCACACCCCGGACTTGGCGCAAGAGTGGGTGTGACGGTCCTGAGCCCTGAGCAAGGGGCTGGGCTCCTGGCCCCCCACCTTTTGCGCAAGCCGGGGTCTCAGGAACAGGCCCTCCCCTCCATGGTGGAGAGGGGCTGGGGCGAAGTTGGTGTTTTATACTTTACGGACTTCCTGGATGTCAAGGTTGGGTCAGCACCTTGCCCCACTCCCTTGCTTAGTTGAGAAGGAAACTGAGGCCCAGGGGGTGAAGCTGCTCACAGGCTACTTCCCAGGACTCTGGGTGTGCTCTGTGCTTAAGACAGCCCTTCCAGACGCCCTGCTCCCTCCCAGCAAAATGTGCCCCACCAGCCACACCCTGCTCTCCAGGGTCAGGCCACTTCTCTTGGGGACCCTTCCCCTCCTTCAGCCTGGGGTTGTGCCTGCCCCTCCCAGCAGGGGCTTGGCATAGATGCCAGTGGCACAACAGGCCGGGGGCCCAGCTGGAATGGCCTGGCCTCAGGAGGGGGAGTCTGGGCTGTGTTGAGGGGGGTCCCACTGGGGACTCATGCTAGGACAGCATGTAGCCTCCTCCATCCTGGCCCTGCAGTGGGCACAGACTGGGGGCTGTTTCCAGGGCTAGCTGCAGGACTGGGGGGATGCCTGCTCTCTGGGGCCAATGTGGACCGACCATCCCCAGCCACCCATGCCTTCTCACCAGCCTCCTGCTCAATTAGCCATTAATTGGGGCGAGCAGAATGCCGGGTTCTGTGCCACCCAGGGTCGAGTAGGGGACACCTACACGTAGGCAGATCTGCAGGACCCTGTGAGAGAGCAGATGAGAAAACAGTTGATTCTGTCTGGTGGTGACAGGGCAGGCTTCCCGGAAGAGGTGACATTTTACCTTCCTTAAAGGAGCAGTAGGGCTTGGCTAGGCAGGCAAGGTAGAGCCTGGCGTGCCAGGTGCAAGGCCTCAGGTGACAGGAGACGGGAGCTTGGGGAGCCCCAGGAGGACGTGGTTTGCCTGGAGGGGTGTGGGGGAGGCCTGAAGTGCTGACTCCAGGTAGGTGTGGTCAGCTCTGGGTTCCAGAAAGATCACGCCTCCTTGGTGGCCTTAACTGCAGCCTGGTGGCCCCACCCTCGCCCCAGCCTCCTTCCGCTGCTGCCTCGCTTCCCCGCTGGTGCGGTTTCCCAGGGCAGCGCCCTCCCGATGCCCTTTCACTGCACCCTACTCCCGGGGAGGTCCAGCTGGGAGCTTTCCGCACAGAGGCCCCAGGTGAGGCCGTTGCTTGGAGCTGTCCCCAGAGTGGGCGAGGGACTCGGGGTGCTGGCCACGGCTTCACGCGGGCGGTGTCCTCGTGTGGCTGCCTGGGCTTCTCAGAGCCAACCCGGCTCAGAACCTGCAATCAGGGCCTCATTGCACACGGCCGGGCCGTCTGCTCCCGGCTGCGGGGTCAGGCACTTTGGGGTGGAAGGAAGTGCAGCTGGTACTGTTGGTCTGGCTTTGAAGGAGCAGGAGCCGTCCCAGGCCCAGCTCCGCCTCAGGATTTCTCTCCGTGGTGCCCCCCTCCGCACCCAGCATTCTGCCAGCTGTACCATCAGGGCTCCAGCAGCCAAAGTGGCAGCTCTGGCACACAAGGCGCAAAGGGCCCTGCCGGATGGAGTCAGAGGAGGGCCCGGGCCCATCCCCGAGTCTCGGTTTGTCCCACTGCAGCCCCACAGGCACCTCTGGGCAGCCCGGGGCCCGTGAGGAGCGTGGTTTGGAAAGCAATGACATGCTAGGCCGAGCTCCCCTAGGCTGCGCTCTGTTCTGGCTTCCTGCAAGGATAGGGCTGTCTCCCAGCCCCGAGTGTCCCCCAGCTTGAGGGAAGGATGTCTCTGACCCCTGAGGAAACCTCAGGCCCTGGAGCCAGACATCTGGAGCCCCGGCTGTACCCCTCGAGGCTGTGTGAGGCTGGGCAAGTTACTGAACCCCTCTGAGCCTCCCTGTCCCCTCTGTGAGGTGGCAGTGATGGTGATGTTGGCCTCGATGGGCGATTTGAGGACGCAGTGGAACGGAGCACTTTAAAAAGGGCCGGGCAAGGCAGGCGCACCTGGGGACTTAACCTGCCCGGCCTCTAGCTCTTCTTGGCCCCTCTTGGGGTCCTGCTCAGAGCAGGATCTGCCGTGTCCCTGCTGTCCAGCGGAACGCGCCCCGCGCAGGCTTCTTAAAGACAGGCAGGAAGGCCACTGAGTTGTTTGCTTTAAGATGGTTAATTTGATGGGGTGTGCATTTCACCTCAATTAATTATTAATAAAACAACAGCAAAGCACTTGCAGATCATTTGAACACTGCCTTAAATATCTGGCTGCCTCGAGTCGAAAATAAATCTGAATCAGGAGGCGGCCAACAATTCCTAGATTTTTTTAAGTTAAATGTTTCTACCCAAGTAATACTGAAACAGGAAAACAGCACAGGAATCGTCGTGACTTGACGTCCAGCTCCAAGCAGGTTCCCAGACCAGAGCCGTGTTTTTATGAGCCGTTGCCCGGCTGCCTGGCCACAGGGCCCTTGCTCCAATTCTCCTTTCTCCCTCCCAAGGGAAGGAAGGGCAGGCGGGTTATCCCCAGTTCACAGGTGGGGAGACTGAGGCCAGGAGGATTAAAAGGCCCAATGGTCGGCCTGCCCCCTGGAGCCTTCCCTCCCTTCCCTGCAGACCGAGAGCGCCCAGGAAGCTGCCCTGCTGGACCTGGAGCCGTCCGCCCGCCCGTCCTTCCGTCCGTCCTCCTGTCCACAGAGTTTGATCCTGTGGCATCTGTACAGCGAGGAGAGGACAAGAACATGCTCTGAAGACCTTCTCGACAAGACCGGGAATCCGTGGGCCGAGCCCAGACCTTGACGGTAGGAAGCTGGGGGCCGGGTGGGCTGGACCCGGGGCACTGGCTGCTGCGGGCGGCTGCCTTTCAGCAGATACTGGTTCTTGGGGGTGGGGGCGCCGGCGTTCTCCTGGCTGTACAGCCGGGAATGCTGCAGGACACAGGGCGACTGTGGGAGCCAGGGGGGTGAGGAGGGCGGGGGCGGGGGGCTGCCCTGAGGACCAGAGGATGAGAAGGAGCTGCTCTCTCCGCTGTGGGGACAGTCGGGGGGCGGGGAGGAGCGACTGGCTCAGACCGAGGCCCAGCGTTTGCGGAGCGCCTGCCTGGCAGCTTTATTGGGATGTAATTCACACGCCATTCGTTTCACTGGTTTGCAGGGTACCGTTCAGCGGGTTTTAGTATATCCACAGAGTTGTGCGGCCATCACCACAGCCAATTTTAGAACATTTTCATCACCCCAGAAGCAATCCCGCACCCTTTAGCTGTCACCCCCTTCCCCCTTCCTAAGCGACCACCAGTCTACACCTGTGTCTAGAGGCCCCCAGTGTGGGCCTTCATATGAATGCAGTCACCGTAGGTGGCCTTCTGTGACCGGCTCCTTCCACTCGTCCACGCCATAGCCTGTGTCGGCGTCACGGTACGGCGTTGCGTGGCTCTGCCGTGTTTTGTGTGTCCCTGCTTCCTACGACGGGCGTTTGGGTTGTCTTCACCTTTTGGCTCTGATGCGTAGTGCCACCGTGGGTGTTCCTATGGTTCTTTCGAGACCAGACGAGACCACGGCGTGTTCAGGGTGGCATGGCTGTAGACGCGTTCCCGGGTGTTCAGGGCGACATGGGCGTAGACGCGTTCCTGCCTTTCTGAGTGGACACACCGCTTGAGTGTTGGTCGTGCGTTTGCTCATCTGATCCTCAAGCCCTTCTCCGAGGGAGGGAGGGACTGTTATTCCCCGAATCGTAGGGGCATGGGCTTGTCTGACCCTCCCCCGACAGCAGGTGCCAGACCACGCGGGGGTCCAGCCTGCGCTTTCCACCAGCAAACGCGACCACCCCACTTCCCAGCAGAGCTCAGCAAGTTTGAGGCAACGAGGGGGGCGCAGAGGGGCTGGGTCGGGGAAGCAGGACAGCGGGAGGAGATGCAGAGAGCGCCTGGAAGCACAGGGAGACGTTTGGACTTCAAATGAGGACGGGCAGTCCTGGGCAGTGTTAGGCAGGGTGTGACATGGTGTGACTCGTGCTTTGGAAGCTGCCGTGTGGAGAAGCCAGTATCGGGGGTCCGATAGGCAGCGGGCAGAGGAATTGGGGGACAGGCGTGGTCCTGTGTGGGAGAGGACAGTGGCTCTGGTGGAGGCGGGGCGGACTCAGAATAAACCCGGCTGCCCTGCCTGCGTGCGTCCCCCACGCTTTAGCCCCCCACACCCCCGACGCCAAAAGGCCCCCGGTTGAGCCTCCCCCCGTCCCTGCACACCCAAGGTTGGGACCCACGTCAGAAGATGGGTGTGGAGTCCCTGGCCTTGTACAAGGGGAGGAGAAACCAAACCTGCCCTGGGAACCTTGGGACATAGGGGAGAGGAAACAGCTGGGGGTTAGCAGGAAAAGGTCACGGGTCAGAGCAAGAGCCGAAATGAAAAGTGAAACAGGCAGAGGGTGTGAGTTCTGGTGGGCAGAGAGGGGAACTGGGGGCTCGGGGCACACACGGAAGAGCCCGCGATCGGGTAAATTGCCACCTTCTCTTTGTGGGGTACTTGGCAAGATCCACTGACATTCGGGATGTATTTACCCTTCAACCCAGCCATTGTGCTTCTAGGACTGTGTCTTGTGATAATACTGGGACAGGCACACAGGGCACAGGCAAGGGTGTCTGCTGCGACATCAGAGACACGTCTACAGTGCCGGAAGGCCGGGCGCGGTGGCTCACACCTGTAATCCCAGCACTCTGGGAGGCCGAGGTGAGCAGATTGCTCGAGGTCAGGAGTTCGAAACCAGCCTGAGCAAGAGCGAGACCCCGTCTCTACTATAAATAGAAAGAAATTAATTGGCCAACTAATATATATAGAAAAAATTAGCCAGGCATGGTGGCACATGCCTGTAGTCCCAGCTACTCGGGAGGCTGAGGCAGCAGGATTGCTTGAGCCCAGGAGTTTGAGGTTGCTGTGAGCTAGGCAGACGCCACGGCACTCACTCTAGCCTGAGCAACAAAGTGAGATTCTGTCTCAAAAAAAAAAAAAAAAAAAAGTGCCAGAAATACCCTAAGTAAGTTACTTGGAAACTAAATAAACCTTGGTGTGTTCCGCTCAACGAAATCTTTGCAATCATCAGAAGAACTAGAGCAGGTCTGTCTGTCTGTGTTGATGGGGATGGATGTCCACACTGCAGGTGAAAAGGTCTTAGTGCGTGTGAAATTTTTAAGTACTTGTGTTGTTTCCAGGCGCAGCAAGGCGCCCCCAGAGGAAGGGGGCACAGGCGGGGCATGCTGTCACCTCACTTTCTGCATTATGGACCTCTGAGTCTTTTTTTTTTTGCAATGAGTGCATGTCATTTCTATTGTTAAAATAACCTGTTTTCCCACTGTGAAAAAAAGTACCAAACAGGTGGCAGTTTCACTTATCTTTGAAAAACGAGCTGGGTAGCCATGGGGGACGGAAGCTCTCGTCTCTCGGGGAGTCCGACTGAGCCCCACTTCCTGCTGCTCGGCTCAGGGACCCCTCCCGTGAGAACCTCCCCTCCCTGCCCAGCGGAGCTGTGGGCACCTTGTCAGTGGCTCGGGGTGCCAGGTCGCCCGGGGGCCTTCTTGTCCTCCCCCGAGCCCTGCCCCGGGGTCACAGGCAGGGCCCTTGGTGCACAGGAAGCCGCCCTGTGGCCCCCTGGCCTACCCCGGCCAGGCAGCTAAGGTCACTCCACATCTTTCATCTTCGTGCTCCTTTGATGGTTCGGTTCTTGCCTGGAGCAGAGAGACCAGAAATGGGAGGAGGTGGGGTGTCCAGGACCTCCTGGACCCCTTCGGGTCTGGAATACAAATGACAGCCAGACATAGACCTCACGACACTCCACCCTCCCCAGGTTCAGTCTGGGTCTAGTCCCTGGAGGTGGGTTTGAGCCAGCTTTGGGCAGGTTGGTTCTTAGTCTTGGCCACCTGCCCTGTCACCAGGGTCCCCACCCTCCTGTGGTCTTGCCACCCCCGCCCACGGCCCCTCTCCCTGTCTCCATCCAGCCCTGCTGCTTCCCGCCCACCATGGCCTCGGCTGACAAGAATGGCGGGAGCCGCTCCTCTGTGTCCAGCAGCCGCCTGCAGAGCCGGAAGCCACCCAACCTGTCCATCACCATCCCGCCCCCTGAGCGAGAGGCCCAGGCCCCCGGCGAGCAGGACAGCATGCTGCCTGAGGTAAGGGGGCGGCCGGGGGACTCTCGGCCCGGCCGGCCACAGGTCACACATGTGGGCACGTGACTCCTTTCCGATAGTTTCACTTCCTGAGCTACAGCCGGCCGTGCAGCCGGGCTCAGGCCGCACCCCCTCCTTCTTGGGCCCGAAATTCAACCGGGATGGAGGCCCCGAATGCAAGGGCTCGTCTTGCTGTGGCCAAGGGGACGCAGGCAGTGCGGGCCGCGAGAAAGGGCTTGCATTGCAGGCGAACCTGGGCCCTGGCAGCTTTCATCTCGTCTCCCAGGCCCAAGCCCGGGTGTCCCTGCTGAGGGGTGGGGCCGTCCGTGACCCAGGTGAACGGGGACAGTGTCTTGCATGCAGCATCAGCAGCCTGCCTTTGCTGCGCCTGGCTCCTCTGGGAAGATGAAGATGCGTCACCGTTTCCCACAGGCTGGACTCTTGCCCCACAAAGAGCTCATTGAAAGCAGGCTCCTGACAGCGTGGGCTTCCCGCGCGGCCCGGGCATAAAGGGAGCGATGTTCCCGCCGCCCGCGCGCCCTAGCGGCGCTCTGCAGACGCGGGGCGGACGTCACGTGGAGTGGGAGGCGCTGCATGAGCAGCTAGGGGAATGCATGCCGGGGTTTGGCTGAAAACCTTGAGGAAATGGTGATTTTAAGTTCAGAATGAAAGCAGCTCAGAGCTGTAAATCGGGGTTGAGGTTTGCTCTCAGGGTTTTCACGTTGGGAGGCCAAAGAAGAGCCAGCCGGGGACCTGGGCTGCACGTGTCGCAACCTGCCCTCCCGCTCCACCCCGCAGAGGCCCAAGAACCCAGCCTACTTGAAGAGCATCAGCCTCCAGGAGCCGCGGACGCGATGGCAGGAGAGCAGCTCAGAGAAGCCGCCCGGCTTCCGCCGCCAGGCCTCCCTGTCCCAGAGCATCCGCAAGTGAGCCCCCCACCCTCCCGGCCACCCCCAGCAGCCGTGCACCGTTGGCGCCTGGACGTTCGCTGGGCCTGCGCCTTGCGTCCCGTCTTCGGGAGGAGCAGGCAGGCATTAGTGAGCTACGTCTCCCTGCAGAACCTAACATCGTGGCTATATGGGGAAACTGAGGCCTCGCAGGAAGTCGCATTGCTGAGGCTGAGGGGAGGTTCAAGGAGCTGTGAGGGGGCTCCCGGGGCCCTCCCGGCCCAGCTCCTCACGGCCAGCCTTCACTCTGCTCCTGCTCATGTGGTCACCGGGCTCCAACTCAGGGGGCTGGAGGGCAGGCTGGTCTGCCTCCACCTCCCCCGCAGGCCCTCGGGTGCACGCATGTGCTGGTGCCCTCAAGCCTCTTCCCCTGCACACTTGGGTGCACACACGCTGCCACCCTTCCCGCACACACGCCCCGCGCACAGGCGTGCGCAAGCATGCGCCCACCCGCCCTGTCCCCGCCCCCACCCCGCAGGGGCACGGCCCAGTGGTTCGGGGTCAGCGGCGACTGGGAGGGGAAGCGGCAGTACTGGCAGCGCCGCAGCCTGCACCACTGCAGCGTGCGCTACGGCCGCCTGAAGGCCTCGTGCCAGAGGGACCTGGAGCTGCTCAGCCAGGAGGTGCCGTCCTTCCAGGGCACCGAGTCCCCCAAGCCCTGCAAGATGCCCAAGGTGGGCTCCGTGGGTTGGGGGAGGGGCGGCAGGCGGCCTCCCCCAGGGCCCCCATCAGCCCCGCTCACCACCTTCCCCCTTTCCAGATCGTGGACCCGCTGGCCCGGGGCCGGGCGTTCCGCCACCCGGACGAGGTGGACCGGCCCCACGCCCCGCACCCGCCGCTCACCCCCGGGGTCCTGTCCCTCACCTCCTTCACCAGCGTCCGCTCTGGCTACTCGCACCTGCCGCGCCGCAAGAGGATGTCCGTGGCCCACATGAGCTTTCAAGCTGCCGCTGCCCTCCTCAAAGTGAGGGTCCCCTCCTGCAGGCCGCCCCCCCACCACCTCTGCCCGTGTCCCCCGCCGTCCCTCCTCCCACTCTCATAGCACCCCCTAAAACTCACCCTAGGGTCTGCCTTCTGTGCCGAGGATAGTGGGTGCCCTGGGCCCCCGGAGCAGAGAGAGGGACCCCAAAGCCCCCCAGCCAGGCCTGCGTCCTTCCGGCCCGGTTCCCTCCTGCGTGCCCACTGCTGCCTGGGTTCGGAAGCTGGTTTTTGCTCGGCCTTGCGTGCTGGGCAGCGGGCAGCGAGGCGTGCACTTGCCACTCGCCTGCCCACGTGTACTGAGCCCCTGCTATATGTTGGGCATGGGGGTGCAGAGCTGGAGTCACTGCCCTGGCTCAGCTCCCAGCCCAGGGTGCAGGGCAGATGCCACCATTCAGGGTGGTCAGTTCAGGAGAGGGGCTGGTGTCAGGGAAAACATTGAGCTGAGCCCAGAAAATAAGCATTCACCAGGGAAGGAAGTGAGGGAACAGCATTTTCAGCCGAGGGAATGGCCTATGCAGAGGCCTGGAGGGAGGAGGAAGCGTGGTGCTTTGAGGGAGCAGCAGGTGGTTTGATGTGGTTTTAGTGAAGGCTGGTTATGGGAGGAGTGGCAGGAGATGGGGTCAGAAAGGTACCAAGAAGTGGGACTGGAGGGACATGGTCCAAGCCCCAGAGGTGAGGGTATAGGACATAGAGAATGCAGGTTGCCTTGAGGGTCAGGGGCCGGCTGCCCAAGCCAGAGGGGCAGGAGGTCTCCCGGGAGGAGATAACTCCAAACCAGGGTGAGGGTGGCATGCTCGGGCCCTTTTCCCCACCCTTCTGCTCTCAGGAGCTCCTTTCGCCCGCAAGGCTCTGTCCCCAGGTGGAGGGGGTGCCAGGGTGGCCGGGCCCTGGAGCTGATGCCTGTGTCTCTGCCCCCTGCCCAGGGGCGCCCCGTGCTGGATGCCACCGGACAGCGGTGCCGGGTGATCAAACGCAGCTTCGCCTACCCCAGCTTCCTGGAGGAGGACGCGGTCGATGGGGCAGACACATTTGACTCCTCGTTTTTTAGTAAGGCAAGCATGGGGTGTGGGCCCTTGGGGACAGCAGGGACGGGTGGCCTGGGAGCTGGGAGAGGTGACATTGGTCTTGATCGTGCTGTGCCAGGAGCCCCTGAGAGATCCAGAAGCCCATTGGTGGGAGCGGGTGTGGCTGTGCGTGGAGCTACTGGGCCCCCATCTTTCTGTCGGGCAGAGCGGGGACCTGGGGTGGGGCACGGGGTGCCAGCTGGGAAAGTCACCATCACGGCCGGCAGGCATGTGGCTTTCCCCGCCATCCTCAAAAACCTGTCTGTCCAGCCTTGTCCTCCTCTTGCATTGGGGTTGGGGGCTGTATTTGGGACAGTGACTCCTCATACTGTCTTCTTGTGTCCCCACCCCAGGAAGAAATGAGCTCCATGCCTGATGATGTGTTCGAGTCGCCCCCGCTCTCTGCCAGCTACTTCCGAGGGATTCCTCGCTCAGCCTCCCCTGTCTCCCCCGACGGGGTTTCAGTCCCCCCGTGAGTGCTGGGGCAGGGTCCCTCCTCCAGCCCCTCCACCCAGACTGGGGGCGTCCCCATGCCCTACCCTGGCCCTGAGCCCCTGGCTGAGAGCCACCCACCGTCCCCACTAGGAAGGAGAGTGGCCGAGCCTCGGCGCCCGCAACCAGGCGCGGCAAGCGCATCGCCTCCACGGTGAAGCACTTTGCCTTTGACCGCAAGAGGCGGCACTACGGCCTGGGCGTGGTGGGCAACTGGCTGAACCGCAGCTACCGCCGCAGCATCAGCAGCACCGTGCAGCGCCAGCTGGAGAGCTTCGACAGCCACCGGTGAGCTCGGCCGCATCTCCCCCAGAGCGCCCCTCATTCACACGGCGAGCATTGCACGAGCACCTCCCATGGGTCAGAAGTGTAGTGACACGCTCGAAGGTGCAGCCTGTCCTGGGGGAGCATGCCCAGGCCCCAGGAAGGGCCCTGGGTGCTTGCTGCCTCTCCTCCACCCCCACTACTGGGCTGCATCCCGAGCCCGGCTCCCAGACAGCAGTCAACAAACATTCACTGAACGCCTCCGAGCCCCAAGGGGATGGAGCAGGGGGGAAAGGGTGGGTCACAGAGAAGCTGAGTCTGGGTGGGGGGGAGGGAGGAGGCCAGCTGGGTAGGGCAATTTTTGCAGAGTGTGAGATTGGCAGTGACCCAATAGAATTGGACCCCAAATTACAAAAAAAGCAAGTAATGACAGGTGTGGGAAGTGGCCAGGAGGAGTGCAAGAGTGAGAGTGAACAGCTGTGGGGAGGGGTGCAGTCAGGTGAACAGGAGTTCCATCCTGTGCAGAGGCCCTGGGGCTGCAGGGAGCGTGGCCTGTTCCAGGAAATGGAGAGAGCCTGGAGAGTAGGCAGGTGCAGCAAGGCTCTGCTTTGGGAACTTATCCCAAGGGCTGTAGAAAGCCGCCCGAGGGTATTAAGCCAGGAGAGGGATGCTTGCAGGTGCACCTTAGACCTGGCTCTGGCGTGGGATGAGTTGGCGGGAAGTGGAAGTGGAGAGCAGGGGCCGGGGAGCCCGATGTGCCCGGGCTGGGTGTGGCCCTGTGGCCGGGACTGAGGGTCGTGGTGAGAGGTGCGCTTGGCTGACCCGAGCCTCTGCCCCAGGCCCTACTTCACTTACTGGCTCACCTTCGTCCACATCATCATCACGCTGCTGGTGATTTGCACCTATGGCATCGCGCCCGTGGGCTTTGCCCAGCACGTCACCACCCAGCTGGTGAGTCTGCTAGACCCCAGGGCGTCCCAGCCCCCGAAGGAGGTTCAGCATTGTGGACATGGAATCCCTCCCACCGCAACAATCTGGCCAAGCGGGAGCGTGCTCGGGGCTCACCGTAGCTGGGCCCCTTCCTGGGGGCTCCACCCTGGGGACAGCCATCCCACCCCTCGCCCACCCTGCCCAGGGACCCCACCACGCTGACGCCTCCCTTGCATGGCCTCTGCGACAGGTGCTGAGGAACAAAGGCGTGTACGAGAGCGTGAAGTACATCCAGCAGGAGAACTTCTGGGTCGGCCCCAGCTCGGTGAGGGCTGGGACTGGGGGACATCTGAGCCCGGAGGCCTGCGCCCTGCCGCCCCAGCTGGGCAGGCGGGCTGCTCGCATGCTCAATGGCCCCTTCAGCGGAGCAGAGGTGGAGTGCTGGGCCCCTCCCAGGTCTGGGGCCTGAGCTCACTCCCCTCCCCCGCCCCCACCCTGCCCTCCCCAGATTGACCTGATCCACCTGGGAGCCAAGTTCTCGCCCTGCATCCGGAAGGACCAGCAGATCGAGCAGCTGGTGCTTCGGGAGCAAGACCTGGAGCGGGACTCGGGCTGCTGCGTCCAGAACGACCACTCGGGCTGCATCCAGACCCAGCGCAAGGACTGCTCGGTGGGGGTGGCCTCCAGCCCTGCCAACTCTGCTCCTGCACCTGCCCTGGCTGGGGGAGGGGCCCTGGGAGGGCAGTGACCACGTCCCCACCTCCTCCCTGCCTGCCCTCCTCAGTCCTGCTCCCCATGCAGACCCAGCTGCTGAATCGCAGCTGACCTCCCCCGGCCCCGGAGAGGTGAAAGCTGATTTGGGGAGTGGCAGGTGGGGTGGGGGTCTAGAGATGGGCCTGAGCCCTGGGGAAATGGGAGAAGCCCTCGTCCTGGAGGGTCCCCTGCCCACTCCGACAGGGATGACTTTGCCCCGCATGACCAGCCTCCTCCACCCTCCAGGAGACTTTGGCCACTTTCGTTAAGTGGCAGGATGATACCGGGCCCCCCATGGACAAGTCCGATCTGGGCCAGAAGCGGACATCAGGGGCTGTGTGCCACCAGGACCCCAGGTATGGCCTGGAGCAGCCCGGGGTCTCAAGGTGGCCCACGGCTGGGCTGCCTGTGGGTGGGGGGATGAGGCAGGCCGGGGAGCCACAGCCTAATCTGACCTTGGCCTCCAGGACCTGCGAGGAGCCCGCCTCCAGTGGTGCCCACATCTGGCCCGACGACATCACCAAGTGGCCGGTGATTGCATGCCCCCTGGCGGAGGATGGTCTGGGAAGGGCGGGGACGCGGGTCCACCTGCCACACAGGCCCACCCCATGGTACCCCTCCTGGCAGATCTGCACGGAGCAGGCCAAGAGCAACCACACGGGCTTCCTGCACGTGGACTGCGAGATCAAGGGCCGCCCCTGCTGCATCGGCACCAAGGGCAGGTGAGCACCAGGGGCACCCTGCTCGCCACTTCCCCAGAGCCACGCTCCTTGCGGGCCCTGTGTCCCCACCCCACCAGCTGGGCCAATGCCCTCTGCTAACCGTCCAGAGCCGTGGTCTCTGCAGAAGAGCAGCCCCTTCCTGCCAGCGATGCCTGCTGCAGCCAGGCGCTGGGCTCCGGGCGAGGTGGGCGGGGGTTCCTCAGGGCCCTGACGCCCCCTTGGCCTCACTACCCTCCTCCCCAGCTGTGAGATCACCACCCGAGAATACTGTGAGTTCATGCACGGCTATTTCCACGAGGAAGCAACGCTCTGCTCCCAGGTGAGGTGGGCGAGGCCCAGCGGGCGCCTTGGGTGGGGAGCGAGGGCTTTCGGCCCAGGCAGAGGAAGCTGAGCCTGGAGCCCACCAGGACCAGGGCTGATGCATTCCCTCCCACATTGGGGCCCCAGACTCAGCCTGTTCCCTGGGGCGCTGCCCACCACGCATCCCGCCACCCCCCTTCCAGGTGCACTGCTTGGACAAAGTGTGTGGGCTGCTGCCCTTCCTCAACCCCGAGGTTCCTGATCAGTTCTACAGGCTCTGGCTCTCTCTGTTCCTGCATGCTGGGTACGAGTCTCCCCTCTGCCCCCAGGTGCCTGGGATGGCCACCCACCTGGACCCCCCAGAGGAAGGGCTCCTGGGCCAGGGCCGCCAGCCAGGCTGCTCCTGAAGGGCCTGGCTGGTGGCCGTGGGTAGGTGTGGGAAGGCCAACACCTCGTGTGTCCCCCACCCCCAGCGTGGTGCACTGCTTTGTGTCCGTGGTCTTTCAAATGACCATCCTGCGGGACCTGGAGAAGCTGGCCGGCTGGCACCGTATCGCCATCATCTTCATCCTCAGCGGCATCACCGGCAACCTCGCCAGTGCCATCTTCCTCCCGTACCGGGCAGAGGTAGGGAGGGACACGGGACGGGAAAGGACCTTCCATGGCCTGAAGGCTTATGGCATGTGCCCCACCTACCCGGATCTGCCGGAGGGACAGGGCCCCTCCCCTGCCGGGCTCAACAGTGGATGGTCAGCTAAGCTGGGGGCTTGTTGGCCAGTCCCTAAATACTGGTGACAGGGAACAGTGATGCTATTGAGCCCCCAGAGATCCCTGACCCCTCCATGCCCTGGGTCACCTCCGGAAAGATGAGACCTTCCCAGACCAGTCTTCTCTGCCTTGTTTGTCTTCATAACCCTGCCCCCACCATACCTATAGCTCGAGCCACACAAAATTGCCCTTGTGCAGCCGTCCTCGACCTACAGAAGTAGCAGTCTTTAGATCAGTTCAACCCGAGTCTCTGTCACCTTGTTCAGTGTCCGTCCCCTCCCCACTGTGTGTCGCCAGGCAGGCTTGTCTGTCGGGCTTACTATATCTTTTTTTTTGAGACAGAGTCTCGCTTTATCGCCCAGGCTAGTGCCGTGGCGTCAGCCTAGCTCACAGCAACCTCAAACTCCTGGGCTCAAGTGATCCTTCTGCCTTGGCCTCCCGAGTAGCTGGGACTACAGGCATGGGCCACCATGCCCGGCTAATTTTTTCTATATATATTAGTTGGCCAATTAATTTTTCTATTTATAGTATAGACGGGGTCTCGCTCTTGGTCAGGCTGGTTTCGAACTCCTGACCTCGAGCAATCTGCCCGCCTCGACCTCCCAGAGTGCTAGGATTACAGGCGTGAGCCACCGCGCCCGGCCCGTGCTTACTATATCTGATCCACACCGGGCATGTACGCAGTAGGCACTCAGCCTTTGCTGAAAGGATGGGCGGAGCAGGCCCAGCTTTGGTCTGGCAGTTTCAGCTGGCCCCCGACCCCACAGCTTCGGGGTCCCCACCCCTGCCAGGAGGGCTCATGGGTGGGCGACCCCAGCCCGGGTACCCAGAGGCGCCGCCTGTCCCCTCCCGCCGCAGGTGGGCCCGGCCGGCTCGCAGTTCGGCCTCCTCGCCTGCCTCTTCGTGGAGCTCTTCCAGAGCTGGCAGCTGCTGGAGCGGCCCTGGAAGGCCTTCCTCAACCTCTCGGGCATCGTGCTCTTCCTGTTCGTCTGCGGGCTCCTGCCCTGGATCGACAACATCGCCCACATCTTCGGCTTCCTCAGCGGCCTGCTGCTGGCCTTCGCCTTCCTGCCCTACATCACCTTCGGCACCAGCGACAAGTACCGCAAGCGGGCCCTCATCCTGGTGTCCCTGCTGGCCTTTGCCGGCCTCTTCGCCTCCCTGGTGCTCTGGCTCTACATCTACCCGATTAACTGGCCCTGGATCGAGTTCCTCACCTGCTTCCCCTTCACCAGCCGCTTCTGCGAGAAGTACGAGCTGGACCAGGTGCTGCACTGACCGCCGGCCGGGCCCGGGCCCGGCTGCCACCCCTAGAGCACTGACAAGGCGGGTCTGTGCCCGCCACGGCTGCCCGCCCGCAGGGCACCCCGCCCCGCACGCCAAAGGCCCAGGGACGGGGGCCCTGGGCTCTGGGCCCGGGTGACCTCCTGCCAAGCAAGGCTGACTCCGCGTGAGATGGCCGATAAAAGCGGGTTCCTTGGGGAGTGAGGTCTGTGGGTTCCCAGCCCCCTCCCCCTGCTGGGCACTTGTCCTGGGGCCCGGTTTCCTTTCGCCCCGGGTCCTCGCTGCTGCCCTGCTGGTGCCTTCCCCCTCTATGACGAGCATGTCCTCGCCAGGGGCAAGGCTGCTCCTCGGTTGGTTGAGCCCAGGGCTGGATGCCCCCCACGCCCACCATGGCCCCTTCCTGTTTCTCCTTGTCCCTCTGCCCTGAGCCCACCCACAGGGCTCCCAGATGTTACACCGTGGAAGAGGCTTTGGTCACAGTCTCAGGCAGAGAACACGCAAGGACACACTGGATGGATGCCGAGAGCTTTGCTTGTTTTTGACAGCCAGAGGCTGTGTCTTGCCCGCCCCAGCCCTCCCTTCGTACCAGCCTCCGCCTCTCAGCTTGCTCTGGGAGGACGGACCTGCACCCCAGGGTGCTCAAGGCTCAGTCGGGCCCGTTGTTGACCAGTTTATATTATGGTCCTAATTTTTAAAAAGTAACGCTAACTTTGTATGGACGGTGTCTCAAGTGTATTAAATGATATTCTTTATGGAAGTGTTGTCTTAATTGGAGACCTCAGGTAGAATGAAGCTGGGATTTTGGGGGATGAGGGGCATGCAACAGGGAGCTCAGAGGCAGTGGTTTGGCCCAGGGAACAGTGGAAAACTTGCGGGGCTTCTCAGGGATTTAGCTGGTCCAAAGACCAACTTGGGGTCACATGGGAGGCCTCAGGGGGTCCCACCCCCACCTTGGCTCCTGGGCAGGGACGGGGCTGTCTGGGCCCTGGCAGAGACGGCGCTGGGGAGCAGCTCAGCACCTGGCCACCACTCCAGCCAGGCCAAGCCCTCCCTGCACCTGAAGCCCCCCCCCACAACCCTCCTCCATCACACCGGGGAGCTGCCAGGGAGGCAGCAGGTGAACCCGCTTCATTGCTGTGGGCAGTGGAGCCAGTGCCAGGCTGCAGGGCAGCAAGAGGGGAGAGTGGGCCACAGCAGGTGCCCAGGGGGTGGCCCCTGCACTCAGAATTGGCCCCTGCACTCAGTCCCCTGCCCGACGCTACTGCCATCTCACAGGCCTGCCTCTCCCTGTCTTGTCCCAGCCTCCCCCTCTAGGGGTGTCCCGAGCACCAGGCTCCTGTGAGCTGCAGCCTGGCTGCTGAGCTTCCTTCCCACAGGAGGAAACAAGGCAGGGACCTGAGAACACCTCCCGGTGTCCCTGTGTACCAGCCTAGCCGGCACAGAGCTTGGAATGCGGGAGGTACAGAGGGCCTCACGAGGACAGATGGGACACGCGCTCCACTCTGAGCTGCTGGGGCTGGCTTTATCTGCCCCTCCCTGCCACTCGCCCACGGCAGTCTCCCCTTGTGCTCAGCCGTGCTGGCACGAGCCCAGGGCAGAGACAGAGGCGGCCGGCCCGTGTCTCCCATGCCCAGGTGGGCAGCCGGTTCAGCAGCCGCTGTTCCTGCGCAGGAAGGCCTGGGCCCGCAGGGAGCACTGGAGCTCCGTGAAGGTGAGGGGGCCCACGGTGACGTCGCACGGGCCCACGGAGTGGAAGCCAAGACTCTCATAAAAGGGCACGAGTGCGTCCTCGCACATGAGCACAGCCCGGCGCACGGCCGGCTGTCCACCCAAATGGTGCAGGTAGCGCCACAGCAGGATGGAGCCCCGGCCCTGCTGCCGGAAGGTGCGGTGCACGGCCAGCACGTGCAGGTGGGCTGTGTGGCCCCCAGGCCTGTGCAGCGTCAGCGACTCCTGGAGGCAAGCGAGGGATGTGAGTCCGGGTCACCTCTGCTGACACACTCCCCCCCAAACCACCCGGCCTGGGCCAAGAGCAGTGTCCCCTGAGTGCCACCTGTCAGGGCCCCCTTTCCACCCAAGGAGGGCCCCAAATCAGGAGCTGTACCTCCAGCCCTGCGGAGGAAACTTATTGAAGACCCGGAGGGGAGGGCATCTTGCCCTGGGAGGGGACCCGTGGTGAACTCTTCTCTCTGGTTATGGAGGAAGAAATCCCACCCCTGGGCCCCCTCCCCACCATCTGGTGGCCCCCTGTCTTCAGAGGCCTTCCAGGAGCTGGGCGCTGCAGCCCACCCCATCCTCACCTGCGTGAGTCTCTCCTTGTCCCAAAGTGAGCCGATGATGAAGGCCACAAGGCGGCCTTCCTCAAACCAGCCCAGGGATAGCTCGGGACACAGGGTCAGGAAGTGCCGGATCTCGTCCAGGTACAGGGGGCAGAGGCCCGAGACAGAGACGAAGGCTGCGGCAGGAGGCATGGGGGAGGGGTGACTCCATTCACTGCCACATGTCCCCCCCTGCCCCTCCCGGGTGCCTGCACCTGAGTCCTCCCCCCTTCTTGAACACACACACACAGTCTAGGACCCAGCCTCCAAGGACAGGAGGCTCAAGGATCTCCACAGGACAACCGGACCAGAGAGGAGCCTCCTCCACGACCCCACGTGGGCTGCTCACCTTCACGCTCAATCTCAAACACGCTTACGGCATCCTCCAGGGTGAGGCAGCGAAACTCGCTGGCAGGGAGCGTGTGGCGCCGCTGGCAGCTTGGGGACTCGGGCAACCCAGGCGGCAGGCGCAGGGCCTCGGGCTTCAGGGGGTGGATGCTCTGGGTGGACATCCTGGCACCTGCTGGGGAAGAGCGATGGCGGGTGTGGGCCTCATCTCCGTGGAGGCAGGCCACGGAGGTGCTGCATCCGGCCTCCGGTAGCGGAACTGGGGTGGGGCCAGCCCCCAAAGCCATAGGCACATTCCCCAGGTGCCTGGCCCCTGCGGCAGTTTCCAGGGACTGCAAACGATGGCCTCTCTCACCTCTCCCTTGAAGCTGGAAGGACACGTGGAGCAGCCCCTGCAAATCCCAGATGCTCTCTGGGTGCAGCTGAGCCCAGAGACGGTGGGGGTCATGGGCAGGGCACCCCAACACTGGTGCCGGCAGAGGGAGGGGAGGGAGGGCATGAGCCTCCTCTGACCACTTCTAAAGCAACTGTTTGGTGGGCAGGCACCTGGGCCCCCCCCCCACTGCCATCCGTGTGGTCTGTCTTACCTCCCAGAGGGAGACATCTTGTCCTCTGGGTGCAAGACGATCTGGCTGGGAGCTTCTTAGGAAGCCTCAGCCCTTGGTCCTGGGAAAAAGCCCCTTAGTCCAAGGGGTCCCTTAGGGAGACTCCGCACTGACCCAGCTGGCCGCAGACTGGGCCATGCACACACAGGACTCGGCAGGGAGGCTAGACAGAGTCGGGGGCTGCAGCGGGTCTGGGGAAGGGTAGGAAGGAGCAGACAGAGGGTGCACAAGACACCCCCATCCCCGTGCGCCCGGCTCATGGAGTCCCCTTGTCTCTCTCCATGATACCCTGCATCTTTGCAGTCCTTAGAGGAGGCCGTCCCTCCCTTCGCCTTCAAACACACTTAAAAAGCCCCATGGTGGCCACCTTTCTCCCCATGTCTAGAAGCTCCGAGCAGGGCAGCTCCTATTCCCAAAGGCTGAGAGCCTAGGGGCGGGGGTCTCACTTACCTGGCCTGCGGGGAGAGGGCCCCAATGTTCCCTCCACAGAGCCAGTCACCGTCAGTCACTCTGGGGACCCGTCTGCAGGCTCAGGGGCCAGGAAAATCCGGGACTCCTGACTGCGAGGCTATTGCAGCAGGTGTCACCCGGAGCAGCATGTGATGTTGTCCTCAGAGATTTTAATCCCTGCCACCCTGCCTCCCGCTTTACGCCAGGCAGGATGATGCCAGCTCCATGCCCTGTCCTTGCCCTGCTGAGAGCAAACGTCAGTGCTGGTGTGCTAGACATGGAGGGATTACCAGAGGCCCCAGGGTTTGGGGAAAAGAGCAAAGGGCTAAACCTCAGGGCTCCGCCTCTAATCCCTGCTCTGTCACCAACTGGCTAGGCACCGGCAATTCACCCTCTGTCCCTCAGAGGCTTGGGCAGGCACACTCCCGAGGGTCCCTCCTGTCCTGGCAGCCTGTGAACGCTGCCATTTATAGCACTTGCTACATGCTGAGCCCTGGGTAAGCGTCTCCTTAATCCACACAACCGCCACGCCAGGTGAGTGTTAACCCATCTTATAGAGAAGGCAACTGAGAGAGGTCAAACAACCTGCTCAGAGCCACCCAGAAGGTGCGTGAAGCGGGAGAGGCAAAGCCTGGCCGGCCTCCCATCACGCACTGTCCCTGTGTTGGTGGTGGGTGGCTGGTTCACATCCTCTTGGTTCTCCTGCTGCTGTCAGCGCCCTCAAGTCAAGGGTGCACAGCAGGGACAGGCATCAGCATTGGGGAGAAATGCCCAAATCTGGCCCCAGGACACGCAGCTGGAGCTGACTGCTCTGGAGCAGCAGGGGCTCGACTGTGTAGGTGTGGGCTGTGGCAGCAGCTTTGGGCCTTGCTGCGTAGACAGTGGCAAGCCGTTGAACGGGCCTGATCCTTGGATGACACTTTTCGTCCTACCCTCCTCATAAGTGACCTTCTGCATGACATATGTAATCAAAGTCTGGTTCCCCAAAGTGCATCTCTTCTGGGGAAAGTTCCCAAATCCAGAGGTGGGAGTCGATCCCCATCGTCCTCGCTTTCTGGCATTATTTCCATCATTGCTCATCCATCCACTGCCAAAACCAACCCAAACGAGCAGACGCCCTCCTCCCTTCCTGCTCCACCCCACCTGTCTCCTGGGCCTGCCCTCGCCCTAAGGTACTTACATAGCCAGGAGAGGACAGAGCCACCGCCTGGGAAGACTTAGGCAGGACCCACGAAAGCTGGACATAACGTACCCTGGGATCACACTCCCAGTCCTTTGTGTATTCAATGCCGAAAGAGCAGAAATGTTCCCAGCAGCACGTTTCATAATGCCCCCAAACTGGAAACCCCGCAAATGACCATGTGCTGTCGGAGGGATTCTGGAACAGACACAAGATGAAATACCACGTGGCAATGAGAACCAGCCAACCTGGACGGCACGTGGCATCAGGGATGACACTCACCCACACAACATTGAACGAAAAAAGCTGGAAAACAAGACTGGTACCCTGTGATTCCAGAGATTGCATTCCCATCTGCGTGTTAGGATCAGGAGAGTGGCTGCCCAGCGTGGGGGGGGGGCGGTTTGGGGTGCCGGTAATGTAACACTCATTTCTTAAACTGAATGCTTATTTTCGGGAGCTGGTGGAAATTCTCCGAGCTGCCAATCTGGGCACTTTTCTGTCTGTATGTTCTACTTCAAGTTTACCTAAACATTCAGGAGTTTGCTCTGCCCGACATCTCAACTGCAAAGACTGCCATTGACCTTGGCTGCCCCGGGGCCCCAACAGCACCTGGTGCCAGCTTTTCCTCTGGGTCCAGGACCCTCTCTCTGTCCCTCAGCCCGCCCTGGTGCCCCTCCCCTCCAGCTCACACCCCCCATCCGGCGCCTCCTAGCTCTTCTGTCGCTAGCACCTGCCCGTTCTTCCACCGCACACATCCCTGCCCCGTCAGTGCCTGGCCTCTACACCCGCACAGCAGTGGCCCCTGCTCAGCTCAGGCTCCCGGGGTCCCCAGAGCTCCCGTCCCCCAGGCACACTCCCCCTGCCCATGCAGAGGGAACATCTGCTCTTACCCGTGACCCTCTGGGGAGAGACTGAGGGCCAGCCCTGACCCCCTGAACTTGGAATGGCCAGGACCAGTCTAGACACCTCCACCCACCACTGCACGCACCCTTTCTCCTGTCTGTGGGGTCCCCTTCTCCCAGGGCCCCTCTCTGCTGTCTGAGGCCCACCAGAACCCCCGGGGATCACCACGCTTCCTCACCTGCCTGCCCCAGGCAGCTCCCCATCTTCCCCTTCGGGGAACCCGGACAGAGCTCTCAGGACCGACCAGAAGATCTCCTCGGGTTTGGCCTTTGGGCCTGGTGGGGAGAACATATCCAGGACCTCAGCTGTCCAGTGTCCCCAAAAAGGCCTTCTCGGTTTCCTGGCAGACTCTGTGGCTCCATTGCACCCCCTGGTGGCCAAGTCACAACCACTCGGAGCTGCCTAGGGGCAGCGATGACTCCAATGTGGCCCTATTGTTTCTGTTAAACACCTGTAAATGCCTGGAACCTCAGAGAACAAGCTGAGGCAGTGTATTTTTCTTTTTTTTTTTGAGACAGAGTCTCGCTTTGTCGCCCAGGCTAGAGTGAGTGGCGTGGCGTCAGCCTAGCTCACAGCAACCTCAAACTCCCGGGCTCAAGCAATCCTGCTGCCTCAGCCTCCCGAGTAGCTGGGACTACAGTCATGCACCACCATGCCCAGCTCATGTTTTCTATATATATTAGTTGGCCAATTAATTTCTTTCTATTTATAGTAGAGATGGGGTCTCACTCTTGCTCAGGCTGGTTTCGAACTCCTGACCTTGAGCAATCCTCCTGTCTCGGCCTCCCAGAGTGCTAGGATTACAGGCGTGAGCCACCTCACCTGGCCAGAGGCAGTGTATTAAACCTGGTTAAACTTGGGGAGTAAAACCCCATGGGGCAGGGGAGGGAAGGGGGATCACTGGTGACTACTTCGTGGTCAACAGGAAGAAAACAACATACCACAGACAATGGGAAGGAAGGTGAGAGGGGTGAGGCGCCCACAGGGTGATGGGTGCAAAGACAGGGGTACCCCTTAAATGAAATTAAGAGAAACATCAAAAACATCACTATGTATCAAGAGTGACAGTGTTCATTTCTAAGCCAGCCATGTGGAAATGACCCTCTAAGGCAGGCGTCCTCAAACTACAGCCCTTGGGCCACATGCGTGTGTTTTTGCCCGTTTGTTTTTTTACTTCAAAATAAGATATGTGCAGTGTGCATAGGAATTTGTTCATAGTTTTTTTAAAACTATAATCCGGCCCTCCAATGGTCTGAGGGACAGTGAACTGGCCCCTGTTTAAAATGTTTGAGGACCCCTGCTCTAAGGCGTCTCAGAACACCCACCGGCCTCCCAGTCCTCCCCACAAGGGGCCGTAATCAAATTCACCTGACCAGCAGAGTGGCTTCTGGAAGTTGACTTTGTGAGTAGGGTCACCAGATTCAGCAAGTAAAAGGACAGGACAGCCAGTGACATTTGAGTTCCAAATAATGAACAATTTTTTAAGTAGAAGTATATTCATGCAATGTTCAGAGCCCATTTAGACTGAAGAATTATCCAAAAGGCAAATTTCAACAGGCAGCCTATATTTCATGTGGCAACCCTATTTATGGGTTCCGGGAAAGGGTGGTGAGGATGCCAGGAAGAACGAGGGCGACATCACGGCTCAGGGGAGAGGGGTGCTGAGCTGTGGGCCCAGCCCGAACCCCTTGGCCTCCAAGCCCTACAATGTACATGACTCCCTGTTGTTCTTCAAGCTGGTCCAGTGGACTTGCTGGCTTTGCTGATCATCTTCAGGAAGGAGGGACTAAGTATGAGCCTGGCAGTCCTGGGCTCTCATTTATTGCACCACTTTTTCACTCTTGTCCCCAGCACAAAGTGTTTTGCCCAGTGAGTGGATCACAACCTGTCCCCAGAGCAGGAGTGAGCAAGGCTGCGGGCTGGCTGGTCTGGGTCCCCAGCCAGCCACATGGGAGTGTGGGAGGTATCCTAGGGGCAGCTCACCTCCCACCTGGTGCCCCTAAAGCCCCCACTCACTCACTCCAGGGTGGAAGGAGCTCTTTGGGCCAGCCCAGATTTGCTCACACAAGGTGGCAGGGAGACATGCCCCAGTGGCTGGTTAAGATAGGGGCGAGGTAGGGCCTGCTTCCTGGAGATCAGTCCACTTTGCTGCTGGCTCTGTGTCTCCTGTGCACGCGCACACACGCACATACACACGCACACACACGCACACACTCACTCTTAGCAATGGGAGTGACAGACTGGCTCAGTTTCTGGCAGGCACATTTGAAAATAAGCGAGATTCTCCCTAGAGAAGCATCTCTATTCCCCACAAAGGGCTGGGTGTTGGGGCCACAAGAGGAGAGGGTTTTTTCATTAGGGAATGAAGTTATTTTCTCCTTCCTAAACCTCAACAACTGTGAAAATAAAAACTAACCAGCTGCTTCCATCCACACTCACCCCACTAGTCAGCCTGAGTGTACAGAGACCATGGCTTGGGGCTCAGGGTCTGGGAGGACGTCAAGCCTCAGACCTTGTCCGGAGCAGCTCAGAACTGAGTGAGGTCACTGAAAGACACCGTGAGGTGGGGAGGAATGTACTGAGGTTCTCTCTCTAAAATGGCTCCGCTTCAGCTCAAATTAGGGGCAATCGAAAGGGTTTGGAGATCGCAGAGGCAGGAGAGGGCCAAAGAGTGCTGCTCTCCTCCCACTTTCTTCAACTCATTGGTGTACAGGGGGGTAGCAGGAAGGATGGGAGACTGACTGAATGGAGGTACAGGAATCTCAGGCCTTTGATACTCACCCATATGACACATGATTGAGCTCCAATGCTATGCCAGGCACTGTACTAGACACTAGCCTTACACACACAAATATGACGTAATTCACATGCTCAGTTTAGTACAGTGAGGGAGAGGCCAGCATCAGAAATCAATGACTCTTACCGGCTGGGCGTGGTGGCTGACGCCTGTAATCCTAGCACTCCGGGAGGCCGAGGCAGGAGGATTGCTCAAGGTCAGGAGTTTGAAACCAGCCTGAGCAAGAGTGAGACATTCCCCTCCCCTCCGTCTCTACTAAAAATAAAAAGAAATTAGCTGGAAAACTAAAAATATATAGAAAAAATTAGCTGGGCATGGTGGCGCATGCCTGTAGTCCCAGCTACTCGGGAGGCTGAGGCAGGAGGATTGCTTGAGCCCAGGAGTTTGAGGTTGCTGTGAGCTAGGCTGACGCCACGGCACTCTAGCCCAGGCAACAGAGTGAGACTCTGTCTCAAAAAAAAAAAAAATGACTCTTACCTACAACCCAGCAGGTTCCTGATAATCTATGTAAAGCACTCAGTATAGTACCTGGCATGCAGTTACAGCTCGATAAATGGTAGCTATTATTAGCCATTATTACAAGAAGCCACAGAATAAACACAGCATATCTTCCTGAGTGCCAATTTACTCAATGATTAGAGAGGAATGGACATTCTTTTTTACATTAAAACAAAAAATACACACACACAAATAAAATAAAATAAAACAAAAAACACAGGCATAAGCTGGAGTAGAATGCAAATTCACTTGGATTTTTTTTTTTTTTCACATCAGATGGGTAACACGCCCATGTCATAACAAGGTTTGAGGGAGGCATGTCCTGAAAAACCCAGTCATCATGCTTATGAACTACAAAAGGATCATCCTTTGCAGGTTTTTATTTTAGAG